AGGAGGTGTCCTTGTATTCAGAAGTTATACTTGATTGGACTTGCTCACCAATCGGCCCATGAATTTGGACTTGATTCCCTCAAGCAGACTGACCTTTAAGATCTGGAGTTGCCATATGATTAAAGTGCAGAACTGCAATGAGGTGTCCCCATCCCCTAATGAGGACAGAAAATGAAACATGAACAGACGTGTGAAGGAAGCCGGAAGTTGCTGTGGTCACTGAGACTGGGGGTGGGGGTGGGGGAGGAGGAATCCGTGGGCGATGGGGGTTTGTCACTGGGTGCAATAGGGTCCAATGTTTGCACCGGTATTTAATCCACTGCCAGTCACCCTGCAAGTGTAAGGGCGACCTTTAGTGTCATATTTCAGCTGTGAGCTTGTTAACCCACCAATGGGCCCAGGGGGCCCGCCTTTGGTTTTCTGGCTACAAGTAACGAACGGACAGGTCTGAAAAGTCCTAACTTCAGCTCTCAGTGCTGTTTATGGTCTTGTGAGCAGGGTCCGAGCCTGGAGCTCAGGGGATCGGGATCTTTTGTTGCCTTTTGTCTATAGCTCAGTCTAGGGAGCGACCTGGGCTGTCCTTGTAGAGAATGACGCTTCCCCGAGGAGGGGGTAAGCTGGAGGGGGGTGTGTGTCAGGGTAGCGATTCCTTCATCCTCTACCCTGCCCTCCAGATCTTCATGTTGACTGACTTCAACTCTAGTGCTTAGCAGGGCTGATGGGAACTAACACTTCACAGGTGTTTGTCAAATTATCAGCCTCTCACTCTGAGAACATTTCAGGAAACCTCTCCTCCGAGAGAGAGGGTGTTTACAAGCTCCAGTTCGGAGTTGAGCTCAGCGATGGGGGAAATCCCTTTTAGTCCGAGTTGCTTGTTGCTACGCAGGTGATGGTTTCATACGGAAGTTCAGGAATCCTGGGGTTCTGTGGCGAGATGGCTTGCAAACAAAACACCTTTCATTCAAATTTTCTTTCCCATCTCGAGAGGAAACAGCTGCCAGTCATGGGTGGGGGCAGGGGAGGGGGGGACGGAGAGAGAACCAGGGCACAGAGGGGTCTCTTTCCATCCAGGGGGGCCCAGCCTTGCCCTCTCCTCCCAAGTCTGTGATGAAATCAAGAACATGTGAGAGAGAAAAAAATTAGCGTCTAACCTCCCCAACTCTTGTATTTTTCCTAGAAACATAAAAACCATGCATGAATATTCAGCACGTGTGCTTTGGACTTCCTGAACACAATAGTCAAGTGGTTCCTTGTTCTTCCCTAAGCTGGGAAGATGCAGAGGCGGTTAATGCTCACCTAAGGTTTCCCTTTCGTTTTTGGCTTTGCAAGTCGGGACCAAAAAAAAAAAAAAACCACAAAGGAAACAAACAAACCACCACTTGAGATGTGTGGCCACAAGAGCGTCCAGAATCTACCTGTAGCTGCTGGAATGTTCTGTCCTGAGTCATCTTTCCCTGCGGCCCCACCTTTGGTTTTGCTGGCTCAGCAAGGTGGATGCCACATGTCATAGCAGTCACCAGCGCACATACTGAATGCTCACCATGACGTGATCGTACGTGCTTGACATCCGTCATTCATCCTCATTCACTGAGAAGAGCATTACCCGTCTTACAGAGAGGAGAAGGGACATGTCCGGGGTTGGGAGTGCTGCTCAGTCTAGCCCAGGGGTCCTCAAACTACGGCCCGCGGGCCACAGGCAAATACAAATATTGTATTTGTTCCCGTTTTGTTTTTTTACTTCAAAATAAGATATGTGCAGTGTGCATAGGAATTTGTTCATAGTTTTTTTTTAAACTATAGTCCGGCCCTCCAACGGTCTGAGGGACAGTGAACTGGCCCCCTGTTTAAAAAGTTTGAGGACCCCTGGCTCTAGCCCATCTCCAGGTTGGGTTCTTAATCTCTGCTCCATCGCAAGAACTTTCGGGCCACATTTGGTCCTGAAAGGGGAGGGTCCAGCTCTCCCACTTTTTTCGTTACTCTCTCATCTTCCTGAGAGAGGAGACGGAGGGCGGAGCACAAAATGAATTGTCTGAATTATTTTTCTGCTCGAGATGAGGGGACGCAGTAGCACATAGACCTGGCGGCTCTCATCGGGTTAGAAAAAGCAGGTGGATGGTGGGTTTCAGCTGGGGAACATGGTGGGGGCTTTATAGACATGGCAACGTGACCCCTGTGGCCTGATCATGCCTTGAGGTTATAAGGATAATCAGGGTGCTGGACAGTGACCCCGACCATCAGTAAAACACGTGGGAAAGTATCTGTGTGTTTGGAGACAGTCAGAGACCTGAAAGGGCTTTTACTTAGTAAGGAGTCTCCCGAGTGAGTAGTTGAAATGCCCAGTGTCTGCCATGGCTGGGGCCACAGGGAGCCCAATTCCTTTTCCAGTTTGATTTAAGCTCAACCCATGTCAGAAGGGCAAGAGATTAAATAAGAATGATGGAGGGCTAGGAAAACAGCGAAATGGAAAATATGCCGTCTTCAAGTGCCTTTGCCATTTTTAAAATGCTTTGTGAACCCACATGTACTTAAAGGGACAGAGAGTGAAGGGGA